TATGTTATATAGGTTCGCGTGCAAAACATTCGATACTAGTATAATTTTTAACAGAGATTTACTGAATGTAGTCTTAATTTTCTATTTGACTTTATTATATACTAAACGTCCTACTTAATATTATAAATGTGAAAGTTTGTATGTTTGTTACTCAATCATGCAAAAATTACTGAACGGATTTGGGTGAAATTTGGTACGCATATAGATTTTGACCTGGATTGAGACATATATATGTAGGATACCTTTGATCCTGGAAACATGTTAAGTTCCTGTGGAATTTTCAAAAATTTAAAGATAACGCGGACGAAGGCGGGGACGGCCGCTTGCTAAGTATAATTAATATTATTTATTTATAAGAAAGAAAAACACGCGCTCTCTTTATATGACGACTAAAAAAACTTACTACTATAGGGAAAATCTTTAATTCTTTGAAAGATAAGCCAACAGAACTGCAGAACAGAAAATCATTTCACTTAAACCTTCTTAGCCATCAGATGACTCGATACTCGTATTTGTAATTTTGGAATGTCCTATCTGTAACTTGCTGAACACTGATCCAAAATGAATTACAGACTTAATCTAGGAAATCAACAGAACATTTGTGTTTGCGGGACGATCGGTACGGTTTTACCAAAACTTTTTCTCAAAAATATACCCGAAAATATTGACCTCCACCAATATACCTACAAAAATACTGACGCTCGGAAAAGCCATTTAAATATACCGAAGAAGTAGTAAAATACTGAATCTGGTCACACTGCCGGGGAGCCCTCGAATCTTACTCAACATCAATAATAAAAACCTAATACCACCTTAGTGTTATTCTACAGTGTTGTTTTTATTTTCGTGTCTTAGGGTGGAAGTTACTTCCCCGTTGTTCCCTAACCTTTCTTTTTAAAAAAAATGTATTCAATGAACTATAATTTTCACATCAACAAACTTTTACTTTCGAAGATTTGTACAGTCGTTATTCAACTAATATTCGAAATTGTTTTCTCCCTCATTGACGTGCCACTGTCCATTATGGCACAAAGAGTTTTTTCTTACCCAAGCTTTGGCGTTCACCATTCAGAATCTAGTAATTGAATCTTACACAAGTAAAATAGATCAGTAGATGCCGTATGCAGTGTAATTTAAGATTTTCATCGCGGAGATAATGAGTAGCAATGCAAATCAACATTAACTTTCACTGCTGGACGATTCACTGGCCGCTGGCCTTAAATCCTCCTTTGGGAAACCGCAGGAAGTTGTATTAAACAGGCCGTGTTTTGTTTTAATTTTATTTTTTGCTGCACGAGAACTCATCAACGCTGATTAAGCGTGCATAAATATAAAAGTTCATTAATTTACAGCATTCTACAGTTAGCATCCGCTCAATGTTTAAGAGATTTTTTGCAATTATACCTAACCACTTAAAATTATATTAGCAAATACAGTTCATGACTTTAACTTTCTGCCGTGCGGTAGTAAAAGAGAAAAGAATGTAGGTATATTGGCATTTATCTATCAACTTTTTTAAATCCTTCAGCTTTTGAAAGAATAATGATTTTCTCAATTACTCAAGTACAACTTCGGGTAAGTTTTAATTTATCGATATGCTTTTCAGTTCACTTCATTATGAGGAATTTCTTACGACTGGTTTAGTCACAGCTAGCTTTATTGCTTCTCACGACTTCTGTCTTCACTTCCGATCACATTCGACATGGTTTGCAGGATAATTTTACTTTCCCCTGGGATTCTCTGTGCTGAGGCTAGGCGAGCCAATAAATCATTATTATCCTAGTATACGCTGGACATAAATTTATTATAAATAAAACTTTGGTAGGTAGTAAATTGAGTAAGGGTAAAAAACAAAAATGGCAAAGCGTGAGTCTGATCTAGATTTAGATTAGGATTCCGTACAAGAAAACATTTAAGAAACTTATTAAATTATGATTTTATGACATATTTTTTTAAAGAGTAAACGTAGTCCAATATCGTGTTATTTAAGATAACATAAATTGGTGTTTCGATATCTGACGCCATCATATCTCTACGATAAGAAGCAATGAATTCTTCGTTAAAAAAACTGATTAGGTACATGACATATATAGATTCCCATTCAACTGCGGATTTTATTCGTTTCTCTAAAAATCTTTAATTCAGTTTCTTTAAGCAAAGGAAGCATCAGCTATCAGAAGCTATATTCTTCTAGAAGCTATTTGGCTTCCTCAAGCTTACTTTAATCTTCTGAAATTTTGTTGAACAGTGCAACACTACTACTAGAAATGAACCCCTTCATTTTTAAGCCTGAAGCATGGCACGGCAAATTTGTCCTGTATTAAAATCACGAACGCTTTATCATATAATGTGTGTAAAAGAGCATCTGTAAGTTTCGTCTTTTTCTGATTTCTTAGCTTTTTGCTTTGTTAATCTTTCTTAAGCCTAAGATGCTGCGTTCCAACGCCCTCTGACATATTGTTATCTTGCTTTTTATGTTGTTTGTAAAAGTCCAGGTCTGGGAGCCGTTCGCCCCGGACGATACGGTCGATCACACTTTGTTGGAGTGCTGGGCCTGGCGGCGGCAGCAGCGTCGTGACTTGATCGCGGCGTTGGATAGCAGAACCCTCTCGCTGCGGAGCATGGTTGAGGCCATGCTTCGAAGAGAGACGGCATGGGAGGCGGCGGCAGCCGAGAGGATGCGGGAGGATGATCCCTTGGCTGCTTCCTCTCGCCGAAGAAGAGCAGGCAGGAGAGGACGAGTGCGCGCCCTGGCTGCGCCCGTCCCATGACCCTGCCCGCGGGGATCCCTAGCTGGCTGGTACAGCCCATTGCGCCGTGCCGGCCACCGAGGGATCCCGTGACGGCAGCCCTCCTCTTGTAGTTCTGTCCTGCAAAGTGAGGGGGTGGCGGAGGGAGTTAGACGGGCACGCCCAAGTAGTCCTCCGCAGCGGACGAGGGGCGGTACAGTGGGTACTTGGCCGCGTACTCAGCCCCAACGCGCGCGCCATCCTGCGCACGTCTGCGGGGTCCCCGCAATACCTCGGGAGACCCCTGCCGTGGAGCCCCGGCTAGGCCGGGAGGTTGCTGGGTGCGGAGACGCGGAAGAATCCCTAACGGGAATCCCGCGGTTTTGCACTTAGCAGCTTAGAGGCTATTCGCAGGGGTTTTTAGCGGATATTATACCGTAAAGCGCTCTTAAGAGTTACGGGGTCCTCAGTGGGCAGCCATTGCGGGGGCTCGTAAGGCTTGCGGCAGCCAGGTGTGAGGTCCGTTCGGCGGTGTGCCTCTTAAAAGCGCCGTCGTCTATAAATAGAGGTTTTGCCTGCGTCACAAAAAGAAAGGTCTGGGAGCCGTAAGTAAGGCAAGGTAGAATGCAAGTATCCATTACAGTATTTATCAGCTACAGATCGAGATTGCCTTTTAGTATGCCCAGTGCCTTCTTTGCGCGCCCAGTACTTGTTCCAGCTGGATGTGATTCTTCTCTTGACCTCATCTTCGTTATTTGTTTTGATGAAGGATACTTGTTTATATAAAGCTGCAATAGAAGCCAGGGAAAAACAAAATGAGCTATTTAAGTATTTGCTAGATTTCCCTGTTAGTAAAATCTCTCAACTGAACTTACTGAACCTTGATTGCTTATCTAATTATTAGGTAGGTGTTTTGTCTAGACAACGACTTCAAACCAATCAATACCAAATGTACCGTCATAGAGAGACACCTCTATTTTGACATATTTGGTATTGATTGGATGTTATGGGAGTGATATTAATATCCCGTGTTCTTTAATGATCTGATTCTATATAGTCAGAGACATGGGTGAAAAGGTGTACAGTACCCTTAGCACGAACCAATATCGAATTCGAATAGTTGAATTGAAAAGGTATGCATTACCCGCTCACGTTTTTCGTCCCTCCTACAACCTGGGATCCTTTAAATGAAGAAGCATATTGCAGGCCGGCAAAGTGAGGGTGGCTGGTGTGGTAGGTAAAACTGCCGCACCAGCTTGTACGGCTGACATCCCGAGTGATGGTGTACCATCACTTAACATCAGGAGAGGTGGAGTCATTTGTTTAAATTTGACCTAGCTATAAAAAATAAAGATCTCGATATGCACCAAATGTCAAGAAATTTTGCATGGAAAATTTTGAATTCCCAAAATTCCATACAAAAATCCTGACATTTGAAGCGTTTGAAGATCGAATTCAACTATTCTAAATTGCTCCGTGCTAAGGATACAGTAGATACAAACATCTTTTATTATTGTATGCTATACAGAAACCCGGTTATAGAGGTGAGAACTAATCTACCTAAGCACAATCTAATAAGTATAGACATCGTGTTTGTAGAATAATAACTTCAGTCATTCATCTTTTTCTAACTCTTCATCGAGCTTGTACTTGCATTAATTGATTCATTCGCTTGGCTTCAATTTTGCTTACACACGTACGTAAACACCTTAGCAGTAACCTCATCAATGTTTTATACTACACTTATGAAAGCAAATAGTTTCCCACATAGAGCGTTTTTGTTCCGCATTCAAACAATTTACGTGTTCACATCTCAGGACTAGTGTGAAGATTCTGGTGCTAAGAAATGTAACTGCAATCATCTTGTAGCTACTTGCAGTGATTTTATTCAGATCTTCTATTTTAATCTTTCTTGCAAAAAGTTTGTTATTTTGATTTATTTTGGAGTATGCAATTCCCAAAAGGGTATCAAGATAACAACACGAAGACTTATTGTACTGAAATTTGCGTTGAAAGTCGTGTTAGGTAGGTAATTTTCTAAAGGTGAGTTCTCACAGAAAAGCTGATCTTCTTGAGGCCGGTATCGATAGCTTACCCCTTTGGCATTTGGGGTTCCGTTGTATCGCCGCGCTCGTCTAGGGTTTTAGAACTAACGTTAGCAAATTGCATGGTTCGGCTCCGGGCATTTTATTGAAAATTCTATCTATCTGTTACGGCGAGAAGGGGTTTTTCACGGTCCGGAATAAGTCCCTTGCGCGTGCGCATTATGGTCGTTAGTCGAGTGGCTCCGGCGCAGGCGGTGTCCGTTATACGGCGTCAGGTTACGGTCACGTCTATATAAGACCGTGGCGTCTTCTTCACCATTTCATTCGGTTTGAGACGCCCGGCCCATGTGCCTTGTCTCTGTACGTGTTGGATAGAACGCTCGTGCCGGTGTCGAGCACTGTTCGTTCCCTAGCCACATTCGCTCATTCGTTCGGGATCTAGTGCTCGCTTCATTCTCACCCTCGGGACACAGTTTAGTTATTTGTGAACTTTATTTCTGTTGAACATTTTATTTTTTCTTGTGAAACCCGAAAACAGTGAAGCAGGCTGCTGTACTCAGGTATATATAACGACGTATATTTTATTACTATAGTAAATTTCTTAGATTACTGACATAGAAACAAAGTTATTATTGAACACAAAACATCATAAATTAGCAATACACTGCGTCTTAGTTTCCACGAAGAAAACATTATCTTAATAATGTTTTTTAAGTAATAAATACCAATGAATCAAATAAACATTTATTTATCACATAAGTTCTACTTACTTCAGTTTGAATTTTTCAATTTCATAAAAAATAGTAACTCACCTTCGTAAATAGGTATTATAAAGGTTAATAACTAAATGATTTTACAGTATAATTTATGAGGAAATTGCATTTGCTATTGCATTTATTTTAGGATATACAATAGTTTATTATTTAAAATTTTGATCAATATAATTAATGTTACAGCAATATAAATTAATAATCAAAACGACAATAACAATCCAAATCAATTTGGGGATATCTATCCATACTACTATGTTCCAAACAATATAGAAAAGCTTATTTTTCTTCATTAATCCAACCAAAAAGTAAACCCAGGCCGGGATATCATAGATGGCGACACTTATTCAAGTATCCTCACATTTTCAAGTGAGGCATGACTAAAACTGTTGCTTTTCACCCCAAAGTCAGATATACATCTGTGATAGAAATGTAAAAAATAAAATCATCAAAAAATCGATACGTAATAACAACAGCCTAATCCGTGATACTTCATTTTTATTTGTGAATAAAATCCAAAGATGAGATGATTGAAAATAGAAGCTCTATTTTCAATCATATCAAGATAAGAAAAATATTATCATATGTAACTGATAATGGTAACGTATGAAGATATCGTATTTTTTTCTGTCTTGAAATATAACTTTATTTTACAAATATATGTACATCCAGTCACCTATGCAATTTGTAACAGTTGAAAACGTAACAGCCTAATGTTATTGCGTTCTGAACAATTTTCCGGTTGATAAACGCTACTTAAGGAGTTTGAATTACATTACCTACTTATTCGCACTGCTTGGAAACAGGGTTGCCAAATGCCTTATTAAAGACAAAAAAATGTGTTTTTGTTATAAAATAGAATCTCCACAAGAAGCAGTGAATTAAACGGTGCCGTGTATTTATGGATTTTTAATAAAAATGCTAATTATATGTCCTAAGTGCTCTCGCAATTGCTTTATCACCCAAAAATATGCCGGTTATATGTAAAAGCAGTAGCAGATCATCCAGCTCTAATAGAGCCATCAAATACGCAAACTTAACATAAATAACAAATTCGATGCAATGCGAATCAAAGTTTATATCCGCGAACTGAATATTTTTGAAGTGAAAAGTTATTTAGCGGCGTTGTACACTTTTTTTGTAATGGGTAAAAAATGTTAAACTCGCGTCAGGATATGTGACCGAAAATGCGTAAGACGAAAACAATAAAATTGGAAAGGTTGACTTTCAATATATTAGACGAAACATAGTAATATTTTATTTTATCGTATTATAATAATAAGTCTCTATCTAGGACGTGCAGGTGGCAGCTTTATTGCGAAGAAAATGCATTGTTATACAATAGATGTCGCTAGGTGCGCTTAAATATGATTCATGTAAGTTTTTTCTGAGAGATAAAATTTTTTATGTAATATAAATTGTCATGTTGGTGTACGATAGCGCAATAAATAAATTTTGTATTCTACCACATAACTACACACAACACTTTTATACTGATAATTAAAGCAATTCGTGCAAAATTATTCCCTAACCATTCCAAAATATCAAAAATGCACAACGTTAATATTCAGGTTTTCACTTCTGCCGGCACTCCCGGAGTGTAACCAGTCGTTTTTTTTGGAATAAAAGACCATCAATTATACATCAATTTATTGATTTAGTTAATTTGATGATCGATTTTATCCTCTTTACAACATTAGTTTATCGAGTTAAAGTTCCAAAATAACTGTTTTGAGATTTTTCGCACTGAATGCGTTGAAATATTTTTAAATTGTACTGTTTGTGACTGGATTCTGCAGTCTCGAAGACAGCCCTACGCACCCCTATTGGAGCGCGCTAACGCACGCTATTGGTATGAAGATGGTAAAATGATTACCGTCATTACTAGCGAATCAGAAGGTATTATATGCGTTTGCGTGAGATACACGCCGAAAGGGGTTTGCTATTGTTTTTCTTGCTATATCGGTCCAAGTTCAATGGAAAAAGCGGGTCTGGGTGGCCACTCAGCGTCACTTCCTGGAATAGTGACAATCATCGCGACAGAAAGATTTCTGCTTGTCAACAGGAAAGTAAGTGGCGCTGCAGGCACTATATCAAAAGCGTCAATTATGTGTTATGGATGGATCCGGTCCTGTTATGGTAGTAGTTACTCATGCTACCCTCGATTTAAAATAACGTGGTGTGTGGTTTAGGATTTGACGCCACTTGAAAGAGATATTTACACATGTCAGAAATCATCAGAATCATTTGTTAGTCCAGTTCTCAAGTTTTGAGAGTCGATATAACCTCTCTCTCAGCCGAAAAAAAAGAACCACTATTAACTTCCTCTTACATCATGTTGTTTCTCTTTGTCTTTCTGAATTAGCACTAGCCACCGCCCGCGACTTCGATCGCATTAACTCTAGTTATTTGAGAATCCCACAGGAACCTAAAATTTTCCGGGATTTCAGGTATTAAATATTTCATCAAAATTCGTTCACCAATTTTTGCGAGATTGAGTAACAAACAAACAAACTTTTAAATTTATTATATTAGTAGGATACTTAAAACCGTGGGTTTTTGTCGAAATTTTTACCACGTACGACAAAACTGTGGAATATATTGTCGCCAGCAGTGTTTCCGGACCAATACGACCCAAAAACCTTCAAAAAAAGAGCGTACTCCTTCCTTAAAGGCCGGCATCCCATTTGTGATACTCCTGGTGTTGCAAGTGTCCATGGGCGACGGTGATCACTTACCATCAGGTGAGCCATCTGCTCGTATGCCCCCTTTAACATAAAAAAAGGATACTTAAAAAGCCAATAAAATATAAAAAAAATAGCTTCTATAATAATATTTAATGGAATAGACATAAAAAGAAGTAAATAATAAGGCTGCGAAGGTAACAACTAATACTAAGACGCTTCTATTTTTTCACTTGTTCTAAGACTTGTTCGAAACAGGTTGCAATGCGTCTCAGGATGCACGTTATTAAAAATTTAATAGCCCCGAGCCTTTCCAACGTCAGTCTCCAAGAGAAATAAACTTTTATCTGCGTTGGAATGCGTTTATTGCTATTTACACAAGTTCGGAAGCATTATAGTAAAAATAATGTGTTTTTTACGGTTTCTACGAAAATAGGATTATATCAATTCAGCCCTACTGAAGTACAGACGGTAATAAATTTAATTCTTTAGATATTACAGGATCATCATATCAGATTTAAGAATAATTTTGTTTCTTTTTTGCACTCGATATAAGAACTAAACCAACATATATCTTGATAGTTGAAGCTAAAGGGCAAAGAGGTTAAGTTTGTAGTTAATTCAATATTCGAACATTTTAATAAATATAGAAAACGGTGTTATCGAATGATGCTGTTCTTGGTTTTTGCCATGGATTCAACGGACACGTTATGCCGAACGTGTAATCTTTTAGGAGGCGGGTCCTGACGTAAAAAAGCTTCCGTCTAATGTAACGCCCCCTTTACACATTATTAAGTATTGTGAGGCACACTAAGTTGAAACTTAATGCTCTGTAACATGTATTCAGTGTCGGTATGATTAAAAGTGATTAACACTTTCAATTAAATCGATAGGTAATGATAGCATTTATCACTAGGCAGTAAAGTTGAAATTCCTTAAATACAGCCAATTATTGCGTTTGAGTCATCACATCGTGAGGGATTTATTTGAAGTGGTAAGGTGGAACTAGTCCACGGATATGAAACATTTTATATACGCACGATCCACTTAAGAAGTTTTCATAAAAATATAAAAATATTTTTTTCCTTTTTTACTTATTTCATATATTTCTGTCTGGTGCAATGAAATGCAACTTAACGACAAAACAGTTTGGTTGTAAAAATCAATTCACATAATGATTTAATTATAATTGATGTTACAGGTACGATTTAATCATCATTACTCAGAAGACAAAAGGTTTCACTTTTTAAACAGTGTTTACTGTTTAATTTATCTTCACTCTTTATATTTATCATCACAAGCATTACAATTTTAAATTAAGAGCAGCACAGTATGTATTGAAAAGGCATTACAAATTTTTCTCCCACTTCTATTTGCAGGACAATCTCACGAAGAGATTGTTTTTGTGTTGCAGAGGAAACTTGCTTCTGGTACGTCACCCTCATATACGAGTGTAAATAAATACTGCTAATCGGAGAGCAAAAAAGCAATCCCATTCCTTGTCTAAACTTTAAAAAGTAAAGATCGATGAGCGTAAAAAAAATCATTGATCAATGACCCATCACAACTTACGTATGGTGTTCGCAAAAAATAGTCTATGATAATGATAAAGCAAGTGTATGCGTGGGCGCCGGGCGCAACCAGTTGGTAGTTTTTGCTGTGGGTATGCACGGCCTTGACCGGCCAAATATTCGAGTTTCTGATCCAGTTATAGCACATCAGATTCATATTATGACGTTTTCTTATCGTAGTTTCGTAACATGGTTGTATTTTATTGTTTACAAAATAGTTGAATAATTTAGATATTACCAAGTGCATTTACAGTTTTGACATTAATACCTTATGGCGAGTATTAAATGGCAGACATAATAATTCCAAGGTCCCTAAAGTTTCGCTAATTCACGTTTGGAAATGTGTCAAACAAGAGTTTTGACAATTGAAAAATCGAACAATAAAAAAAAAATAGATAATTCAAATGGGATAAATTACGCCTTTCGTGTCCGTAATAAAGTTTTTAATATTTTAAGCGTTGTCAATCCATGGTTTCGACTCTAGATGAACATTGAAGCTCTTTTAAGCTTATTATTGTTATTTAAATTTATTCCC